CCGGAATGGCTTTTGCTTTTGCTGTGCATTTACATGTTTGCTGCGGCTCTCTTTCTCTGGTACCTAGCATGGTGTGAGTGGGCCTGGGGAGATCTCCGCTGCCTGTAACATAGTGAGTTCATCTCTTGGAAACATCCTGTTCTACTGGGCATTTTTACCTGTGGATTTTCAAAAAGATGACCCCTCCCTAAGCTGTAATTTTTTTAAATATTTATTTATTATGTATACAATATTCCTTCTGCGTGTATGCCTGAAGACCAGAAGAGGGCACGAGACCTCATTACAGATGGTTGTGAGCCACCATGTGGTTGCTGGGAATTGAACTCAGGACCTTTGGAAGAGCAGGCAATGCTCTTAACCTCTGAGCTATCTCTCCAGCCCCGCTTATATAGATTTTTGATGAATAAAAATAAATATGAGGACATGTTTCACAGCCGGGGTCTGTGAGTCTCACCTAAGGAGCTGCATGGATTGTAGCTCGAGTTAATGGCTAACAGTTGAGTCCCAATAGCCCAGCTAGTTTAAATTCTTTCAACCTTAATGTCAGGAGATGTGTTCACAGGAGTGTATCACAGCTGAAACAAAGCTTTGAAAATAACAAAGTTAGACTAAGATCTTTTGTTAAATAACTTTGAGGTGAAACCCAAGAAGACAAACTAAAGTTTTAGAGAGGCACATAGTTGAGTGAGGAACTCTTTCAGGTCAAGGAACAAGAACAAGACAGCCCAGTTATTGCTGGCTGACATACTCTCCTTGCTAGGTTTGGTTGATGACCAAAGGTGATTATTAATTCCTTATACCCATTTCTACCCTCAATCCCTTGATATAAAAAAAATCTGTTAATGAATGGGTATGCACCCTAAAGTAGAGCTGACTGATTCTTTTTTCTACATGGGTTTGTGATTCCTTTACGATTCCTTATAAGATTACCTTTCAAGATAAGTAATAAAGTATTTGGCCCTTTCTTTCTTTGTAACTGCAAAATGCAGCCTGCCAGTAAAAGACCTGACAAGAACACCTTGCTTGCCCAAATGGTTAATCAATAACAAGTTGCCTGGGTATGAATGCATGTGGGTTCTTGGGATAATTTGTTTTTGACCTGTAACACAGAAAATGTTTAATCATGTGAGGGAGATTAAAAACATGTTTTCACCTCTAATCATTCACTTGAGAAATGGAATGCAACCATTTTGACTCATACTGCCTGGAAGATTCTCTTGGGAAAAAAAGCTGTAAAACAACATGTGATAGTGAGAGAAAAAGAAAGAATAAAGACGAAGAAAACCATCGAGAGTTTGTGAGTGCCTTGCTCCCTAACCCCCCTCAGATAGAACGGATTAGTTTCATGGACTCCGTGGATTCCGGTCAGGATAATCAAGAAGACTGCCAGGGAAAGAGGCGGCTCTTCTCAGGGAATTGCCCAGAGTGCACCAGTCCTCCTGAGGATGTCCAGAAACCAGAGGCAATCCTCTAATGGTCGCCATGGACAGGAGCTCACGGAGCTGCAGTCCACTGGCCATGGTCAGGAAGAGGTGAGGAATCATAGTTCCTTAGTTTCCCTGATGTATTTTTCTTTGTGTTTGTCTTTCCCTCTGAATGGGTCAAGCAGGATCTTTTTTTTAACTATGATTCAAAGACATGAGTTTATGGCCTTCTCTATAATATGGATCTCAATACAGACTACATTGGCATTGGTTACTCAGGAAAAATTAATCAAGGATGAATAGAGTAAATGTTCCAGAGAAAGTCATTTTGACATCTCTCAGCTCTGTCCCCCATTTTTAAACTGGGTTATTAGTTTTCTTGATGCCAAGGTTTTTTGTTTGTTTTGTTTTGTTCAGTTATTTATGTATCTTAGATGTTAGTCTCTATCAGACGTGTAATAGGTAGAGACCCCCTCCATTCTTTAGCCTGTCACTGTGTGTGAATGATAGTGTCCTTTGCCATACGTAAGCTTTCAGTTTCATGAGGTCCCGGGTATTTATTGTAGGTCTTAGTGCCTCTGCTATCAGTGTTCTGTTCAGGAAGTCTTTTCCTGTGCCCACGAGTTAAAGGCTGTTTAACTTTCTTTCCCACCAGATTCATGTATCTGGCCTATGTTGAGTCTTTAATCCATTTGGAATTTTGTGCTATTCAGTTCTGTTGTAGGTGGGTCTTCTGTCTATGTGTTACTTTCATTGGTCAAATAAAGAGACTGCCTTGGCCTTTGATAGGACAGCAGCTTAGACAGGCAGAGTAGAACAGAACAGAATGCTAGGAAGAGGGGAAGTGAGTCAGATGTCATGCCTCTTCTCTCTGAGACATACACAGGTTAAGATCTTTCGTGGTAAGCCATCACCTCGTGGTGCTACACAGATTACTAAATATGGGTTAAAGCAAGATGTGAGAATTAGCCAATAAGAGGCTAGAACTAACGGGCCAGGCAGTGCTTCAAAGAATACAGTTTCCATGTAATTATTTCCAGGGCTAAGCTAGCCGTCCAGTAGCTGGGCGGGACGGAAAGCAGGCCTGCCAGCAACTTCTTCTACACAGTTAGACCAGCACCATTTGTTGAAGATGCTCTCTTTCCCCCAGTGCATATTTTTGGCTTTTTTTTTTTTTTGGTCAAAACTCAGGTGAGTGGACTTACATCTGGTTCCTTGATTCAATTCCATTAATCAATATATCTGTTTTAATGCAAATACCATGCTATTTTTATTGCTATTCATCTGTAATGCAACTTGAAATCTGAGGAGGTGAGACCTCCAGTGGGTCTTTTATTATTCAGGATTGTTTTAGCAGCCCTGCTATTGTATGTGTGAGTATTTTCATATGAATCTGAAAATTATGTTTTTCAACTTCTGTGAAGAACTGTGTTGCAATTTTGATGAGGATTATGTTGAATCTATAGATTGTTTTTGGTAGGATGGCCATTTCACTATAATATTTTTACTGATCCATGAGCATGGGAGATAATTTTGATCTTCTGGTGTCTTCTTTAATTTCTTCAATGTCTTTAAATTTTTATTATACAAGTCTTTCACTTACATGGTTAGAATTGCCCCCAAGATATTTTTGAGGCTATTATTAAAGATACTGTTTCCAATTTCTGTTATCATTTGTATATAGGAAGGCAAGCCAGCCAGCCTGTTGTCAACCTGATATATAGACTAAAGTTATCTGAAAGGAAGGAGCCTTAATTGAGAAAAATGCCTCTATAATATCGGCTATAAAGCATTTTCTTGATTAGTGACTGATGGGGGAGGGTCCAGCCCATGGTGGGTGGTGCCATCCATGGGGAGGTGGTCCTGGGTTCTATAAGAAAGCAGGCTAAGAAAGCCATGAGGACCAAGCCAGGAAGCAGCATTCCCTCCATGGCCTCTGTGTCAGCTCCTGCCTCTGGGATCCTGCCCTGCTTGAGTTCCTTCCTTCAGTGATAAACAACAATGTGGAAGTGTAAACCAAATAAACCCTTTTCTCCCCAACTTGCTTTATGGTCGTGGCATTTCATTGAAGCAACAGAAACCCTAAAACAGAAGGCTACTGACTCTGCGTGCTAATTTTGTATCCAGCCACTTTGGTGAAAGTGTTTATCAGCTGTAGAAATGTCCTGGTGAAATTTCTAGGTTCTTTTACATATGAAGCCATATTACCTGTAATAAAGGTACTTTAACTTCTTCCTTTCCAATCTGCAGCCCCGTGATCTCCATCAGCTAGTTGTCTTACTGCTCTAGCTAAGACTTCAAACACCAGATTGAATGAGTATGGAGGAGGGGAGAACCTTGTTTTGTTCCTAATTTTAGTGGAAACACTTCGAGTTTCTCTCCATTTAAGTTTATGTTGACTGTGGGATTGCCTTGAATTGTCTTATTATGTTGAGACATGCCCACTGTATCTCTAGTCTCTCCAGGACTTTTATTATGAAGGGACATTAAATCTTGTCAAAGACCTTTTCTGCATCTAACGGTATGAACATGGATGTGGTTTTTGTCTTTCAGTCTGTTCATGTGGTAGTATATTTTGGTTATATTTGGGATCTTAGCTGTCCCAGTAGAATTGAAAATTTACATATAGGAACAAAATGAATAACTTGGGAGCTTTATTGCTAAGTATTCATTCTTACAAATTATCTTCAAAGCTATAAACAGAGACAGATAAAAGAGAAAGCCTCTTAGCTCACTGTGTATCACAACCTACTTTATATTAATCAGAGGGATTTCCATTGATAGTACCTCTGCTAAAGCTATTCTACAAGTGATCGCTGTAGATTTGTGTGCGTGTATGCGCACATGTGCGCGTGCCTGTGTGCACGTGTATGTGTTTGTGTGTGTGTGTGCCTTCACGTTCTCCACACGGGTCACGGGTGTGGGGAGGACGCAGGCCAGTGCTGCAGTGGAAAGTTCTGTGGGACAAGTTGTGCTGGAGGTCAGGTAGAGGTCCAAGAAGTAAAAGATTTCTGCAGAAAAAAACACGAGTAACAATAACAGAGCAGTTATTGGCACCGGTAATCTGGGAGTCAGCACTCAAGGAAGCAGTGGCTTTTAGCGCCACCTGCAAGCCCACGCCACACACCTTGTAACAGGAAACAGTTATAAATGGTCCCGAGTCACACACCCAGCAAATGGCAAGGCTGGAAACTAAACTAACTCTTTCCTTTACCACACACCAATGACTTTTATCCAACTAAAGAGTTTTCTCCCCACAAATACACACCAGAGGGAGAAAGTAAAGCAACTCTTGGGGATCCCTTTACACTGGACTGAGCTCATAAGACCAGTCAGGCTGCATGCAAATGCAAATTCCAGGCAGCTTTAAAGGGAGCCTAAGTTACCGTATATGGTTGTCTTGTCTTTCCCACTCGAATAATGGCTGCTATCGTTAGCCTATGCTTTATTGGCGTGGTTTTCAGGAACTACCAACACTTACAAACGAGTTTCTTCTTATCAGTTTAATGTTACAGAGTCACCATCTCAGACCACCCCGTGCTTGTTTTAACTAAGGGAATGTGCAGGCGGCTGTACCTCCCCGGCTTGTCGGCTTCGCCTCTGCTGCCTTCCTCCCTCACTGGTGATTGCGCCATCCTTTCCCCGTCCTGGGTGGACTGTGCACAGGATAAGCAGTCTTCCTGTTCAAAAGAAAGAGAAAAGGCCAAGAACTCAACAACCTGCATATTTCTCAACTGCACTGGCATCTTCTGAATGGACCTGTGACCAGAGCATGGGCACAGGGTAAACGATGGTCCCTCTCCCTCCAGATGCTGCCCCTACTGTGTAAGGCCCCCTACTGACTATCACCATCGCACAGGCTTCTCCTTCCATGCCTCCCCTTTTCTGGGACCTTTGCGTCCATCGCTTTGTCGCATTTATCATGACACTTGTTTCCATTTGCAATTGGTGCTTGGTGAGCCAGGGCTCTTTGATTCCATAGCTAGAACTCTAGGATTTAAATGGACTGTTTATAGAATTCATAAGCCGGCTTTTCACTGCTAGAGCCGGCTTCCTCAATTCCTGTCCCAAAGTGCTGGAGAACATTACAAAACTGTGCATTGTGCATGGAAGAAACTATTTTAAGTTCATATTTAGTCAACAGGAAAGCAACTGGCAAGCCATGGTGGCAGCTTCTTCCTCATTGGTTCTGTTGACAAGGCTATCCGTACATGGTCACTACACCTGTTCCTCAAGGGTGGCCACTCCCTCGCCCGCAGTGGCTTGCTGCAGGTGGTAACACACTGGCCCACTGTGGTGGTATCTGGTCTCCAGAGCGTTCCCTTCTGAATGAGACAACCATGTTGGCCGATGTGCTTCAACAGGCCATTAGAGGAACCAGACAATAGATGCTCCGGGGGTTTTTGCAGTCTCTAATGGTCCAAACCACTTACATCTCAAGATTCCCTGTCTCTTCTGCCCCATGTTTTGTGGCAAATGTCTAGAGTTAAGGAAGCCAAGCTTCAAGAGCACACAGTGAAGATCTTTCCAATGACGTCAACATTCCCTCGAGGTTATGGAAAATACTCATTTAATTCAATTGTATTTAAGGTGTCAGGACCCCTGGTGCCAATTCCTGGCACCCACGCTCCCAGTGGGACACTGGGGAAATTTACCTGTTTGTTTGTTAAATGTTGCAATGTGTTTGCATGGTTTAATTACATGAATTTCTTCTTAGGAAAGTCTAGACATTTGTCTTTCAGTAACTTCTTACCTTGGTTAGTATACTGCTCATAGTACTTTTCTTCAAGCTAAAAGGCATTGTTACTATCAGCGCCAGCTTGGGAATTGCACTAGACATGGCCTAAGGATAAGTTGTTACGTCTGGAATCTCTCCCAAGTTATGGAACATTGGCAAACACATTGATGAAGATGAGGAAATGGCTCTGATATCTCGGCAAGAATTAGTTATAATCATTCTAATCCAGAAGCGGCGAGGGCATGGGCCACCCAAGGATGCAGGCGATCTGAAAATGGCAAGGGGACTCCAGAGAACACAAGATCCCATTGCCTCTGGGAGACCAAAGGAGGCATTCATGATTCATGTTACCTGAGAACTTTAGCAATTCCTCTCACTAATAACTTGGGGAGGACTAAAATCTGCAGCCCCCCAAACCTCACGTGAGCCTGCTGCTCAGTCTCTACTACAGCACCCATACTTGCTTCAGCCTCTGCGGACAACACAATTAGATTTTACTCAGAAGCATCCATGCCAAGAATATACGTATCTGCTGACACCTTAAGGGTACACCGTGGCCTGCTCTCCCCAGACCAGAAGAAATCAAGTCAGTGTAGCCTTATTCAAGAACGAAGTCTGTTCCCCTCTTAGTCTCCAGAGCCTCAAGAACCACCTAAGGGCAATGCCAGTTACCAGCAAAACATGGAAAGGCTGCAAAGTCTAAAACAAGAAAAGATCTCAAGTACAAAGTCAAGTCCAGCTATAACTCTATCCACATTTATGACCTCGCAGTGGTTAAATTGTTCATTGCGGCTATAATCAATGATTACAACTTCACTGTAGTTTTCTTTTCATTTGTTCTGATGCTAGATTACTCCTTGAAATTTTTGTTGTCTTAGCCATACTGTTAGAATATAAGCATTAATATTTATTTTCACAAATCAAGGGTCTCAATCCAGAAAGCCCTTGAAGTACTAACAGAAGTATTTAAGACAGCTTTTGCCATTATTAGAAGACTCTGCACACATTCCTAACAACTTGGGCAATACGTTCTCGGTCCTCTGTGATTTACACAACCAAACTGATCTTAGGCCCAGGCACAGCATACTTTGACATCCTGAATAAGAACAGCCTCCCCCCAGATTCACAACCTTCATGAGGTTCTATTCCATCAACATGATCAAGATTTTTGAGCCCCTGGATGGACAGAGCCTGCATCCCTGCTCAGCAGTGAAGAGGCTTCATATACAGTTCTTTTGTTTGTTTGGTTTGGTTTTTCAAGACAGGGTTTCTCTGTGTAGCCCTGGCTGACCTGGAACTTGCTTTGTAGACCAGGCTGGCCTCGAACTCACAGAGATCCGCCTGCCTCTGCCTCCCAAGCGCTGGGATTAAAGGCGCCCGCCACCACTGCCCGGCTCATATACAGTTCTTACAATCAAGGGAGAAAAGCCTCAGATAAAAGGGTACTAAAGGGGAAATTGAGGCAGGATATAAAGATGGGGAAATTAGTGGAGCCAGCAAAGGGAAAGGAAGCCCTGGTCTAGACTCTCAGGAAATGGCAGTCAGGTGACCCAGGCCTCCCAACACAATCAAATCAGTGTGAAGATTGTTTATAGAGAGACAGGGTTTTGTACAGACACTTCAAATAATACTGTTCATATAGCGATGAGCCAAGCTTAGACCTAAACGAATGTGAGCTTCCAGTTTACCCTTCCCGTGTCCCAGCTGTTAACCTGCAGCTCTGAGAATCTCACAGTTTCATGAACTTCACTTATAGTCAAAGTGTATTTCTCAACCCCCTGTGACCTGTCAACAGGGATTCCTTTGACCTTGTGACTTAGAGTGTTTTCACGTCAGCCTCCAACCTGCCCAATCACAGCCAGGAGCTATTCACTTAAGATTCACTTAAGATCTCATTTACAAAAGATGGGGCAAGTATTCCTTACCGTCTTAGATGGGATTTCTTTTGATGTAATAAAACACCAAGACCAAAACTAACTTGGAGAGGAAAGTTTATCTTACAACTTGCAAGGAAGCCAGGGCAGGAACTCAGAGACCTGGAGGTAGGAACGGAAGCAGAGACCAGGAAGGAGTGTGGCTTCCTAGCTGGTCAATCCCTGTTGCTCCATTCATTTTCTTACATACCCCAGGAGCTCTTGCTCAGAGGTAGAGCCACCCACAATGGGCTGGGCCCTCCCCTCCCACACAAATCATCAATCAAGAAAATGCCCACAGGTTTGCCTTTAGGGCAATCTTATTTTCTCAATTAAAATTCCCTCTTCCCAGATATGTCTAGGTTTGTATCAAATTGACAGAAACCAGCCAGCACACCAAACCCCTGAACAATGTCACCTCAGAAGCCACCAAGATTGTATATAGGGCTATTTGTAAAACAAGTCTGACTCTTCATTGAGAAAGGCCACACACGTTTTCAGACTATTGTTCCGTCTCCTAACCGACCCCCTCTTTGAATTAATGTTTGCGCATAAAAATCTATGTTAAAGCCTCTTCCTAAGTTAACTTTGCTATTAGAGTACAGAGAGAGAGAGAGAGAGAGAGAGAGAGAGAGAGAGAGAGAGAGAGAGAGAGAGAGAGAACACAAATTTACAGCACATGTCCCCCACTCGGAGCTGAGGACCAAACCTAGCCCTTATACTAGCCAGGCAAACACCCCACCACTGAACCAAATCCCCAGAGCCCCAAATCAAAAAGTCAGCATGACAAATCAGCTTTTTACCTTGGCATCAGAATTATATCTGTCCTCTCTTGTTGCAGAACTGGGGCCTTTGGAAAGCCTGCAGAGCAAAGACTACAGTGAGAGGCGAGCTGGATTTTTTTTTAAGTCCTAGTAAAAGTAAGCCATCTAGTTTTTGTTTTATTTTGGTTTGGTTAAGTTTATTTGAGACAGGGTTTCTCTGTGTAACAGCCCTGGCTGTCCGGGAACTCACTCTGTACACCAGGTTGAGATCTGCCTGCCTCTGCCCCCTGAGTGCTGGGAGATTGAAGGTGCGCACCACCACCACAGCCGAGTGCTGGGAGATTGAAGGTGCGCACCACCGCAGCCGAGCGCTGGGAGATTGAAGGTGCGCACCACCACAGCCGAGTGCTGGGAGATTGAAGGTGCGCACCACCACAGCCCAGCGCTGGGAGATTGAAGGTGCGCACCACCGCAGCCGAGTGCTGGGAGATTGAAGGTGCGCACCACCACCGCAGCCGAGCGCCGGGAGATTGAAGGTGCGCACTACCGCAGCTATGTGGCAGGTTTTATTTGTTTCTATGTCGACTTCTGAAACAATCAAGCTCGCAGGTTCCTCTTTCTGCTTCTACTTCTCTCAGTCTAGAATGTTCTCAAGGAACACTCCCTCTGGATTCCACGGTCAGGAGCAACAGGATAATCTATTTGCACAATGTCCTCTCTTTAAAGATGAGCTGAGGGTTCAAGGACTGGCTCTTGTTGCTTTTGCTGCCTGAATTGCCCCAGCTGAGAAAACCCTTGAAAACGTTAATCAGAAGTCTAAATGTAGAAGAATCAAAGGAAAGTCTGTCCGTTGTTATTGGGCATCTCTTGCCAGAAAGAAAGCGTCAAACATTAAAAAACTATAAACGCCGGGGGCTGGAGAGATGGCCCAGTGGTTAAGAACACTGCTCTTGCAGAAGACCCAGCTTTGATCCTAACAGTCACCTGGCAGTCACAGCTGTGTGTAACTCCAGTTCCACCCTCTTCTGGCCTCAGTGGGCATCGGTCATGCAAGAGATTCATAGACATACATGCAAGCAAAACACCCGTACATATAAAAATAATATTTAAAAAACTGAAAAAAAAGAACAATATTGAGGGAGAGAACTCAGGAGAAGATAACCACATTTTCTGCTAACTTTGACATTAAAAAACCCAAACAACCAATAAGACCACGTAAAGCCGGAACACTATCTATACACTTTGTGTGGGTCTAACGATTGGAACGGAAGAGTGGTGCTCTGATCCTAAGTAAAGGACTTAACCCTCCTGAGACAGGGCCTGGGGGTCTATCGCAGGGGAGACCATACCTGGCAGATGCGAATCTCAGTTCAGTCGCCAGTGCTGCCAAAGTCAAGGTCCTAAGATAGAGAACTCTGTACCTGTCACTCCTCCAACCTAGTCCAGTGTTTGCTTGGCTTCTGGTCCATGAAGTCCACTAACTCATGGCCATGCCACAGACTGGACTGTGAAATCTCATTGGATATATAAGGATGGGGTGGTTATAACTACTAAAAATATCAACTTGAAGCTAGCCAGTATTGTAATATAAACACTTACACTTGAAAGGTTTCAAAAACAGTGTAACTCTGTGCAGTTGCTCCGTAGACATCCACCAAAGACGTGTCTGCACCCTGCTGGAGAAGAAAGCCGATCATGTCTCTGGACTGAGCTCTCACAGCATGTATGAGGGCAGACCTAAAACAACAAATGCAATGTTACCCTGACACACTTTATTAGTCATACAAACAACTATCTGAGTTCCCCTGTAGCCTGTGTGTTAGAGTAGTCATTAGCAGTTAAGAACAGACAAAACCATGGGGGCGGGGGGTGTCATTCACTGATCTTTGTTATCTCTAATGCTAAAGGGGAGAACCCAGAGCCCTCCTGCGCCACTGCTGTGCCGCTCAGTAGAATTCCATGCCATGCAGGGGCTAGTGCTATGCCTAGATCATTTACCTGAAGTGGGCGAAATTAAATGAAGAAGTCTCCATGACTTCCCCAGCCTGATGTAATAGACCATAATTCATAGTCAGCAACAGGCCAAACAAGGAACAGTTATTGGTGTTATTTCAAAAGTTATTAATATAAAATATTAGTATTAAAGATAATAGCAGGTTGGAGAAATGGCTCAGTGGTTAAAAACACTTGTTTGTTCTTGCAGAGGACCTGGGCTCTGTTCTCAGCACCCACATAGTGGCTCACAACCATATTAGCTCCAGCTCCCAATGATCTGACACCCCCTTCTGACTTTCTTGGGTACTAGACATGTATGTGGTACACAGAAATCTATGCAGACAAAACATTCATAAACATAAAAAATAAATAGAACTTTAAAATTAAAGATAATTTTTGGTAACAGTGATTTGGTTAATGAGGCTGACTACCTTGAGCTAGGTGCTGATATCAATGCTATATAGACATGTGAAAACAACTCTTCAAGAATATTATCCTGATTTTGGCAGACTAGAGAGCTAGCTCCGTAGCTAAGAGCACTTGATGCTCTGGTAGAGAAGGCCCAGTTTCAGACCCAGTTATGATGGTGCAAAGCTGTGACCCCAATTCCAGGGAATCCGAGGCCCTCTTTTTGTCTCTATGAGCACTAGACAGACAAATGGTGCACATGTATCCATTCAAGCAAAACATTCGTGCATATAAATAAGATAAATGATAAAAAGGAATATATCCTTATGTTCATCTCAGAAAATATATTTGGTGATAAGTAATATTTGTGAGGCTATGCATTAATCAGGAAGGCACAGATAAACCCAGTCTTGTGAGGAGGAAGCTAAATCGTCTTTATCCATCTCTGAGAACCTGCTTTCATTACTGGACATTTACTCGGGTGGAGTTAGGTGAGTTCCTCTGTACCTGCCAGTCCAATGAGTAGACATCGGCTGAAGTTTTAATGGCTGAGGAGTTGGCCCGAGGAGGTTGGACCACTGAGGTGATTAGATCACATGGTGCTAACGGCATCTGTATATGAATTCATTTGTGAGATTGTTGATAGCTTGTCTATTAGGATGCGGGTTCTGGGGAAGGACCTGGGTCACTAGGCTGTGTCCTTTGAAGGGTTTGCCTTGTCAGGGTACCCTTCTGTTTTTCTGTGTCCTGGCTTTAAGGAGATGAGACCTTCCCCTGCTTCATGCCCCCACTTCCTGTCATAATCTACCTTGCCTCTGGCTCCAAGGTAACTCTAGCCCACCGTGGATTGGAGCCCGTGAAACTGTGACGCAAAATAAATTTTTCCTCCATTAAATGGTTTCTTCTATATTTGGTCAGACTAGTGACAAGCTGAACACATCAACATAAATCAGAGAAGGACAGGGAGACATTGTCAATAATCTAATTGGAGATGATCCAACACTGATATTCTTCAAACAAATCAACTTAAAGCAAAGAGCCATCAAAGATATAAGGCAATTTTCAAAAGTATTTCTAATACAGAATTTTAGAGGAAATGTATGCAAGAGACAGAGGTGGGAAATAATGTAAAATTGTTAAGAATTTCATTGGAATCTTAAACTAGCAGTTTACATTTCTAAAAATAAGGCTAATATGAAACTATTTTAGTTAATATAAAATCATATGACTAAAAAGTCGGCTTCAAGTAACAAAGATCAGTCAATATTAGGAAATGTGAGCCCTGCCATAGTTTTGTGTGTGTGTGAGAGAGAGACAGACAGACAAAGTTGAACAGTTAATTTCTACCTACCTGTTAATTTGTTTTAATGTGTTTCCTCTAAGTGTAAGCTAAATTCTTGTGAATTTAGTATTGATGTTTTAAACTATCGCAACCACTCTAGAATGTTGGAAGGACTGAAAAGGGTTTTGAAGGTACCTCTTGTAGTTATCCAGGGCGTTTATATTGGCCGCGGCCCGTAACAACAGCTCCACCATCTCCAGTCTGTTTTCCAGCACCGCCAGTATAAGCGGTGTGTAGCCATTCTGTGAAAACAACAACAGTTGACAACTCCCGCACAAACTGGAGTCATCAGAGGAAGGAGCCTCAGCTGAGGAAATGCTTCCTTGAGATCCAGCTGGAAGGCATTTTCTCATTTAGTGATCATTGGGGCAGGGCCCAGCCCATGGCAGGTGGTGCTGGTCCTGGATGCTATAAGAATCCAGACTGACAGCGGAGAACTGGACAGAGCTCCCAAAGTCCAGTTGAAGAGTGGGAAGAGTGGGAATATGAGCAAAGAGGTCAAGACCATGCTGGGGACACCCACTGAAACAGCTTACCTGAGCTAATGGGAGCCCACAACTCTGGTCGGACAGGGAAGGACCAAACTAGACCCTGTGAATATGGGTGACAGTGTATGGTTGGGGCAGACTGCAGGGCCACTGGCAGTGGCACCAGGATTTTCCCAATTGCTTGGGCAGACTTTTTGGAACCCATTCTCTTTGGATGGACAGCTTGCTCAGCCTAGATATAGCAGGGAGGGCCTTGGTCCTCAAAGCAATGTGCCTTGCCCTCTCTGAGGAGTGGATGTGGGGGGGTGGAAGTGATGGGAGGAGGGGAGGGAGTGGGAACTGGGATTTGTATGTAAAATGAAAAAAGTTTGTCTCCTTTTTATAAAAACTAAAATAAAAAAAGAAGGTAGACTGAGCAAGCCATGGGAAGCAAGCCAGTCAGCAGCACTGCTCCATGGCCTCTGCATCAGCTCCTGCTCCAGGATCCTGCCCTGCTTGAGTTCCTGTCCTGACTTCTTTCTTCAGTGATAAACAGCAGTGCTAAACTGTAAGCCTAATAAACCCCTTCCTCCCCAACTTGCTGGTCCTCATGTTTCATCACAGCAAAAGAAATCCTAATGCAGACAGATTGGTACCAGAAGTAGGGCATTGCTGGACAGACCTGACCATGTTTTGGTGAGGTTTGTGGAAGGAATTTGGAACTTTGGGCTAGAAGTTTGAGTGTTAAGAGTTCGGGGGGGGGGCGGGGGGAGGCTGGAGAGATGGCTCAGCGGTTAAGAGCATTGCCTGCTCTTCCAAAGGTCCTGAGTTCAATTCCCAGCAACCACATGGTGGCTCACAACCATCTGTAATGAGGTCTGGTGCCCTCTTCTGGCCTTCAGGCATACACGCAGAAAGAATATTGTATAAATAAATTAATTAATTAAAAAAAAAAAGAGTTCTGTGGGGCGTTCTGTGGAACTTGGAAGATAAGAATGTTGAGAAAAGTGGAGAAAATGGAGGCCCGGCCTGTGAACTTCAGAGGCAGTATTAGACTCTACCAGGGCCATTTGCTGTTTTGAATTAAGATGCTGTGGTTCTGGTTAGCTGGGGCTGAAGAGTCAGCTGAGATTAACATGATACCCGAACTACTGAAGCAAAATTTTGCTGTAAAGGGACAGTTGATGATGGAGCTAACAAATTAGTGGTGATTGAGACTAGCTTCACTGAACTCTTCTGGTGAGTGTTTCCTGAGAGCACAGGGAAGCTCTGTTCCAGAGGTGGCCAAGGTTGTACCACATGTTGGTAGCCAGACTTGGTAATGTGTAAGGATCACCCAGATGATACTGGTTTTGAAGGCATGAAGGGTCATGGAGAGCAGCTGAGGCTTGGCACTGTGAGAGGCCATTGGTGCAGGTGCAGCCTCGGTGCAGTCGAAGGCCCAGGCTAAAGGAGCCATGCAAAGAAGTTGAAGCCTTACACCATGAAGACAGCCTATGAGAGGCTATTGGTGAAAGTGCAGCCCAGTTGCAGCAAGAGGCCCCAGCATTTTGGAGATGCCCGTGCTGGAAGACCAGCAGCAGCAGTGGAGTGGAGCTAACTGGAGCCTAGAAGATAAACTATGTGTGTTGCAGAGGGCAGAGCTTGGGAAGTGACCCAGGTCCTTTGGAGGAGTCCAGAAGATCACCAGTGAAACCCAGATAGTTGGACATTGAATTGTTTATGCTGAAATACTTAAACTTTTAAAAGAGATCGGCTATTTCTTATTTTATTTTATTTAAATAATATTTTTTATTTATTTTACATACCAACTGAAGTTTCCCCTTCCTCCTCTCTTCTGGATCCCCCCCCACTTCCCATCTACGCCCCTCCCCTTCTACTTCTCCCCCATCTCCATTCAGAAAGGGACAGGCCTCCCATGGGCCTGCACAAAGCATGGCATATCAGGGTGAGGCAGGACTAAGTTCCTCTCCTTGCATCAAAGCTGGGCAAGATACTCCAGCATGGGGAACAGGTTCCCAAAAGACAGGTCCTGATCTCTCTACTGGTAGTCTTACAACGAGACTAAGTGACACATTGTCATACACATGCAGAAGACCTAGATTGGTCCCATGGAGTCTCCCTAACTGTTAGTCCAGAGTCCATAAGCTCCCATGAGCTCAGGTCAGTTATCTCTGTAGGTTCCCCCATCATGACCCGCCCTGGCTCATACAATCCCTTTTCCCTTTCGTCAGCAAGACTCCCAGAGCTCAGTCCAGTGCTTGGCTGTGAATCTCTACCTCTGCTTCCCTAAATTACTGAATAGAGTATCTCTGATGACAGTTAGGTAATCAGTCTGATTATAGCAGATGGCCAGTTTAGGCACCCTCTAGTATTGCTAGGATTCTTAGCTGGGGTCATCCTCTCTCATTACTTCCCCCTCCATCCAGCCTCCAACCCAGCTCTTGATCCCTCAAGTTCCCATTCCTTCACCCCCACCCCAGTTGATCCAGGAGATGTCTCCTATTTCCCCTTCCCAGGGAAATCCACGCATCCCTCTTTGGGCCCTCTTTGCTATCTAGCCTCTCTGGGGCTGTGGATTGTAGGTTGATTGTGGAAGTTCACAGTGACTATTCCCATCTTGACTCAAGATCAAAGAGTTCAAGTTTGCCAAGGCCAAATGACAGGATTTTAGCCAAAGGTGTGGTCACTAGATGTGTTTTGACAATTAAGGAGATGATTGCTTTTGTTTGTTCCTTGAAACATAGTAAGGAAGTTTTTTGTCCTTCCCTTTTTGGGGGTATAAAAGGACAATGAGAAATAAATTCGAGGTGGCTACAGTATTTACTGAGAGCCCTCCTGACTCTGCCTCTTGTCTCTTTCTCTTTTCAGTCCTCACTCCCCTTTACAGGCATGTTCAACAGGTCAACAGGTCCTGACAAAGGAGACCTAAAAACAGGGGCTAAGTGAAAGACAGTGCAGGTGAAAGGGGCTCAGATAATAGCAAAGAGGAAGCACTGTGAGTAACTTGGAGGAAAGCTGTAAATACGGGGAGGGTAATAGTAGCCAGCTGTTTGTACATTTGCTTAAAGATATTTTAACACCCAGAGGAGCTGAAGTAGAGTAGCAGCAAGCACAGAAACTTTCCGAGTTTATAGAGCAGGTGTGCCTTTAGCTTTAGCACGGGACCTTGGATGCAGACACACGCGAGAGAATTGGAGTGAAAATCCAACAACATGATGAATTTGATCCTGGAGGAGTCCCAGTGGATACTTAGTCTGTGGGCACTTATGTGGCACAGTTTGGATTTGTGCCCTGAATGGCAGGAGGTATTTCCCTCTGGAACAGTTAGAAGTGAAGCAAAACCCTCCACACTGCCAGAGGAGCTGTTTGGTGATGATCGGTTTGACTGCTGGGCTTGAGGAAGAAGCCCTTCCTCACTTCTGACCATGAATGACGAGAGGTAGAAACCTTGTGGTGAGATTGAGCCGGAGCTAAAGGGCTTGAGAGATGTGGTACTATCCTTTAAAATAAAAATGAGATTCTGCAAGTCTTTTCGGAAGGGCACTCTTCTGCCTACTGTAGTGGCTGGTTTAGATCCACTTAGGGGGCTGTCTATGTTGCAAAGACCTCCTGGAACATGGCAACACTCACCGTTAGTCATGAATTTCATCCACAGGCTGGTATTAGAGCGGCAGTTAGCAGGGAAGAGGATGTGCAAGGTTTCTGATGATTCCAGTGATGGAGCAATTGGACACTCAGGGAAATTTAGTCAGGGTGTATGCGTCAATCCCATTTAAACAACTCAAGGAATTTAAAACAGTCTGTTCTCCATATAGGCCCCCTGCTCCTTTTACACCAACTCTGTTAGAAAACATGGCTGTAGAGATCTTGCCTCCCGGAGATCAGAAACAGATGGCCAAAGCTTGCCTGTCAGGCAGGGACTACCTGTTGTAGAAAACTGAATTTGCTGAACAAAGTCAAGTCACAGCTGAAATAAAGTGGTCCCAATAAATTCCCGTTACTTTTGATATGCTCGCTGGAGAAGGCACTTATCAGGAGACAGATCAGCAGTTACATTATGAGGTGGCCGTGTATGCCCAGATCAGTGCAGCTGCCAAGAAGGCCTGAAATAAGTTTCAATCTTCTGGAAAGTATACTGAGGACTTGTCAAAAATAAGGCAGGAACCTGATGGCTTATTTTAGGTCTTTGTCTCTAGGCTAATGTCAACAACGGGCAGGAGAATTGGGGATGGAGAATCTAGGCCTTTGCTAACAAGCTAGTGTACGAGAATGCTAATGCTGCCTATCAGGCTGCTTTGAGACCTTTTAGAAAGAAAGACAACATCTCTGATTATATTCACCTTTGTTCAAATACTGGGCCCTCATACAGTCAGGGTTTAGCCATGGCTGCTACATCACAGGGAAAAATAGTTAAGGATGTTCTCTTCTGATAAAGAAATCAAGGCCTAGGGAGAGGGAGAACTAACAGATCTCCTGGAAGTTGCTTTGGGTTTAGTCAGATGGGGCATGAGATCAAGCAGTGTCCTGATAAAGGAATAAGCCTGGGGACCAAAAAAAGAGAAAAACATTGGGCTAATGGATGTAAATCAAAAAAAGATGGCCGAGAGAATCCCCTGCAGGGAAATTGGCAGAAGGGCCTTCCTCAGCCCCCCCCCAAAATGTTATGGGGCAATTCAGCAGTCTGACCCTCTACAAGGAAATCCATTTAGGGTCTCTGCAGAGCGACCCCAGACAGTGCAGTATTGGGTATCAGCTCTTCCATCTACACAGCT